TCGAAAGAATGCTACTATCATTGTTATTTTCAAACAATCGCACCTAGGATGTAAGCGGTACATTGATGTGGCCTCAAACTTGACGGAGGTCACTTGGTCGCTGCAGGGGAGAGAGATCGTATTTGGCCTGAGAAAATTCGCCACTGCTGATTTTTTTCCGTTCCGGGCACACTATACCACCGCTCGACGTTTAGTTGGGGCTCAGTCGGGGGATGCATACCTCTTTTCCGTGCACGGCAACAATGTTTGGTAGGATGATTTTTTGGTTGTTATAGGGGGACCGCTCTGGAGCAAATCCGGGGAAGGGTATTTAGAGTGAGTTCCCCTCTATGCCGAAATGTGCCCTGTTCAGGAAATCAAGATTTCTCACTGTTCCTGACTTATTCTCTTGAATTTTTCGAAAACCTTTGGAATTACGTTGGATTTTTACGTGTGAGTGGTGGTAGAAACCTCACAGTGCTTCGGAATGTGTTTCTGACACTACCGAGGAAGTATGAATTACTGTAGAAGTTTGCCTCTATGCTGGAACGTGTCTGAGGGAGGGTGGGTTTGGCGTAAGCCCGTTACCATCAAACACCTGACGCTTTCCACAGATTGTGGAGTAAAGGGCTGGCGCCATGCCAAGGCCAGCCCCCTGGCATGCTCCAGCTTCCGCAAGGAAGAAACCGAATGCAAAACACCATGGGTGATCACCGACCGTGAACTGTTCCATCGAAAACCATGGAATTGCCATTAAAACATGGAACCGTGTCAGAAAAATTACTCACGACCAAGGCTTGTGTGATGCACTGTTGTTCGTCATTAACTAACACAGTTATAGAAAAAAGAGGGTAGATATAAGGATATACCACCATATCGACCCCAAACAGCATGCGTAAAACTCGTAACTGACACGCCTATAGAACCGCCTAGTGTGTAAATACAAAGAAGTACAGAGAACAGCACACCTACCCAGAGGGGGGACAGAATAGAGGAAAACGACAAAAAGTGGACGACATATTTACAGGAGCTAGAAGGAAACACTAACAGCTCACTAGAAAGTCTATTGAAACGGGTTGAATTGGCGCGATTACAGGAAACTGATCACTCGCCTGGAGATATCCGATTGAATGGGTATTTGGACAGGGCACGCAACAGTCAGCAACTGGTTGTCCTAATTACTTACCTCATTTTCCCAGTCATTCGTTTCACGTTAAGTCGCTAGAATCCATACAGAGACTCTCTCCCGCCACACCTGCCTTCTCATCGAATGTGAAACCCCTCTAAGGCTGCATTCATACTTTGCGGCAGCGTCCACCAGCTAACCAGCGTTTCAAGCATTCGCCAGCGCCAACGATAAGGAAAAGATAGATATCGATCTAGCGAACGTCAGCGTCTACCAGCGTCCACCAACGTCCATGAGTAGAGAGCATGGGGAAGTAGGAGGGTAGCAGAGATTAAGTATCGTGAAATGGCGGCGTGTGCAATCGCACCGTACACCTGCTAAAGCACAGAACTGTGCAATTCAATGTATGGTGCGGCTGCACACGCAGCAATTTCACGACGTTTAATCCAGCCGTCTGCTTCCCTCCTACTTGACCAAACTCATGGACGCTGGTGGACATTGGCGAACGCTGGCATCGAGATCGATACATACTTTGTCAGTCGTTGCGTACGCTGGTATTCGCTGACATTCGACGCAAAGTATGAACGCACCCTGAGAGCTTCGAGACGTGGTAAAGCAGGACAAGACGCGACATAGCAGGAAGGGAGCGTGGCACACCCCTTCCCCAACTTTTTTGTTATTTATTATCACTTTTTTCTAGGAGAACTACCTCAATGTAGGTCGCGCCATATCAATTTATTGGTTGTCGCTGTCGAAAATCCTCGTACCCTTGCCCCAAAACGCTACAACGTCGACAATTTTGGAATGACTATACATTCCTTCTTCATCATCTCCTGATCCATTACTTATCGTACTTATATGGAAACTTAACCATGCTGCCTTGCCTAAAAAAAAACAAAATGCCAAAAGCTCAAGGCAGACTCAAGTGCCATCAAATGACAGCCAGTTGCTGACTTTTTTAAAGGCCTCATCTCATTCAGAATAAAACATGCCAAGATTCATTTTCCCACAGCCACACTGATGCAAATTAATTTGAAAAGGATAGTTAATTATCTAGGCACTACAACTGCCTAAAGTATGAAAAAACGCACCTTCGAATGTGTCGTCTCCGTCGGCCATCAATTCGTCATCGGAGCAAATATTCAAAATATGAACCAACATTTCCGTCACTAAATAATAACATAATAAGGTAGGAATTATTGCCACGAGGCAGTGGGCACGGGGCGGGCGGCTGTCGCCGACGTCATTGGTGGAAGGGCAGAGCAGTGTGTGGCCGAACGTCTTTTCGCAGCCTTTCCACAAATGACGTTGACACAACCGCCCGCCTCCAGCAATCTTGCCCACTGCCTATAAAAATCCCCTTTTGGGATACGGCACACATCCCGCATGTCTATTTTCCAACGGTTTATTAAGTAAAATATGCCTGTAAAATGAATCGCGGGGGCAAGCCGATAGACAGTCAGTGTATTTATCCTCACAGACGCTCTATCGTTCCAATTACCCGTGACGTGGGTAGAATGCCTAGCTAATCGGGACGAGAGTCAAAGCAAAAAAAGGCAGCCGCTGGTAGCCTACTCCCTTCCTCCTGACTTCTACATACCGCCCCGACTAAATGTGACGATATCAATTGTATGACAAACAGTGTGTCGAACTCGCTTACTTGACTAAAGATTATCTCAGGGGGGGGGCGGGGACTATATGAGACACTTTGCTCAGGGATTCAAAGCGCAGAATGTCAATTCCAGGGCCCATTTTTCCGTTGGGGAAAAATTCGTGAGTACTATCCCTCCCCTCCCCCCTTCTCCATCGACATCGTACCTACCTTCTTTCCCACATTCCTTCCAATTTCCTACACCTTTTCTGGAGTTCTTCTTCAGTTTCTCATCAACACTGAAAACGTTTCCCAACGGCAAATAACGACACTGACCCCCCCCCCTCTATAGAGATCCCATTACAGACGTGCCCTGGTCAATATTCATGGATCGGACGACTCAAAAAATATTTATGCATTGTTCCTTCCTGAACATGAGCGAGAGTCCTGCCCCATCACTCTCTCTCTCTCTCTCTCTCTCTCTCTCTCTCTCTCTCTCTCAAGTCCACCACCTCTCTCTCTTATCTACCCTCGAAACAATATCATCACCACGCCACAAAGCTACTAGGAATCACATAAACCTGAGCGCTTTGCTATATTTTTCAGGCTTTAATCCCATCAACGGGTTCCTGGAGGACGCGTCAAATCTTGTGGCTGCGAAGACATCAGCGGAATGAGCTGCGGAAGCTACCAAACAGGCGAATTAAGCTTTGCTGTTGCACGCCATAGGTGGCCTTTTTTCTGCACCCTCCCTCTCCTCCCTCTCCTTTATTGCCAACATTATTTTGGAATAAAATTGAGAATTAAGGCCATCTTATTCGCCTCATTTACGGCCTCTATTGCTGGAAATGACGTGTGCTGCTTCAGGGTGGACGCAATAACTCATGAAGTGACGTGAAGATTACACGCTCCTATTATTTCCTATTTTTCCAATCAAGAAAAGTGCCCGCTCCTCATGAAAGAGTGAAGACTGTTTTCTCCAGATCGGGCCGATGAAAATGAAAGAGAGAAATGCCGATTCATTTAACAGTTCGACATGGTATAGACGCTCATATATATTAGGTCGTTCAGTATGAAATGTCCGTTTTTGAGAGTCACTTCAGTTTATCATATCTCATACAACGCAAATTACAATCAATCAAAATATGATCCTAAGTTATCAACACATCTTTGCCATTTTAAAGGTAACTTATTAATTCCATCTCTATAGAAATCTGGGGAGCGAGAGGCAATAAAATCATGAAAGGCACTTTCTACATCATCATAAGAATTGAATAATTTTCCCTGCAAGAAGTGATCTAAAGCTTGAAAGAAATGGTAATCTGTAGGTGCTAGGTCGGGAGAGTAAGGAGGATGAACGAGAGTTTCCAAGTCCAAATCCTGTAATTTTAACAAGGTCGAGTTTGCCACATGTGGCCGACTATTCTGCAGTGAGGGAGCGGTCGGTCTCTCTGTTAATCATTCTCGGCTGCATAACAGCAAGCTTCTCCATCATTTCCTCCAGCTGTTGACAGTACGCCTCCGCCGTGATCGCCTGACCAGGTCTCGTAAAGCTGTAGTGAATCACTCCTGCGGAGGACCACCAAACTGATACCATAGTCTTCCTCTGGTGAGGGTCCGGCTTCGGCGTAGGTTTTTGCGGTTCCGACTTGTCCAACCACTGGTAAGACCGCTTCCTGTTATCGAAATGGATCCACTTCTCGTCACATGTGACGAGACGGTGTAAGAAAGGCTCGCTTTTTTGCCTAGAAAGTAAGGAAAGGCAAGCCTCAAGGCGGACCCTCTTCTGACGATCGCTCAAGTCGTGCGGTACCCAACGGTCCAGCTTCCTACTCTTGCCAATTTGCTTCAAATGAGACGAGATCGTCACTCTTACATACTCCAAAACTTGTGCCGTGATTCTGGAGGTACCTTGGAGTGGGATCAGCTTCCACTACGGCTTTAAGCTCATCGTTGTTCAGCTTGCACTCGGGCCGTCCTCTCGACTCATTTTGAAGATCGAAGTCGCCGGATTCAAACTTTGCAAACCATCGACGTACTGTTCGTTCGTTAGGGGCATCCTCTCCAAAGACGACGGTGATATTCCGAACTGCCTGTGCTGCGGTGCTTCCACGGCGGAACTCGTACTCCAAGACAACACGCAATTTGGACTTGTCCATGTCCCCCCCCCCCCCCCCCCCCTGTTACAAAAACCTTTCTAAAAAAGTCAGATTCCACGGCAGCCGGAGGTCCACCGAAGGTAAGAAAGAGGGAGGCTGCACCTTTACCAAAACTCAGTACCAAGGACTGCCGGAGCGTTTTGCCTTAGATACGGACTCTCGAACTATGCACTTCTGAAAAACGGACATTTCATACTGAACGACCTGATATAAAAAAGACACCATTTACCCTCCACTGCTTCCACTCTTAAGAAATCAGCCCATTAAAATTTCCCATGTGGGTAGTTATGGCTGAAATCTGTCCCTGCAGGTATTCTGTACGCATGAGAACGTACATCCCCTCCGTCTAGCTCGAAACAGTCTGGCACTAACCCACAGTGCCGGCGCCCAAGCACCTCCCAACATCAAATTTGCTGGAAACTTGTCCCAGGGGGTGGTTGAATTCCTCGAAAACTTATGTCATACCCTGAAGGCGCGACAGTGTACGCTACGGGCGCCAAGGCTCGCCTGCGACACGATCGCCTCTCGTAAATGAAAGGAAACTCTTAGTGGACAAAGTTCCAGCGAAACTTATTTCTAGGAATGCTTTTCATGTGAAATGTGGTCCGAAAATTCGACGACAGGTGGAATAAAAAATAAATATTGTCGAAACAATCACTGAAACTAACCTTTCTCTCCAACAAAAGGTAGAGACCAGGTGAACACATCCATGAAATTCGGCAACCAATATGGATGCGGACTACAATTGAATTGCCGAATGTTCATAACATTATTCTCGTATTTCAGGATGGCCGCTGAATAAATTTGAAAATAGAAATATTTAAACGCTGCCACAAGAATGCTGAGTTATGGGCAAAAGTCAGACCACGGACGGGATTCGAACCCGCATCTTCCGCTTACCGGGCAGTTGCGTTCCCTATTACGCTACCGGGGCCACTCTTGACCAACTCAGCTCAATGGCTATTTGTGCCATTGCCTTCGAGCACTCACACGTTCAACGTGATGAGCCGGTTAGCCGATATCGGCAGTGAACCGCAAGGCTGAAGGCTTTTACAAGTTATTGTTTGATAACTGCTGTTTAACGCCGCAGTGCGCGATCCGATACCACAAGAATGCTGAGTTATGGGCAAAAGTCAGACCACGGACAGGATTCGAACCCGCATTTCCCGCTTAGCTCTTCGCCCAGAACCTTCTAATCAGCTTCTACACAATTGGTAACCACGACTTGAGTGACCGTACCTTTGTTGTTATATACATCGAGATAATTTGGAGCACTAAATATGGTAATGAGTGAAGGAAATCCCGTTGCTTGCGATTTTCGGTACATTCGATACCTGCAGAAAAGAGATTCCTGGAGTTCACAGTATACAGAAAGTTGGCACTATAGTTGAGGGCGAAGCCACACAGCTGCGCGACAAAGTCTACATCTGACACGGCCCAGAGAGCCTGGCTCTCTCGGCTGCTCTTCTGAGACTGACCAGGAATAATCGTGCAGCGCCTCCACGTGACCCCCCTCAACTACAGTAGCAACATAAACATACATTATAAGGGGAATTTGGACCTAAAAAATGAAAAAAAAACACTAAAAGTCATACTCACCCCGCATCCTGAGCTTCATGCGCACGTATTATGGACAAGAGGTTGTTGTGTTGGAGGAAGTCACAACACGCAGCATAACTGAAACAGAACCGCTCTCAGGGAACTGAGAAAATAGGTCAGAGAGAATGATAAAGGATAAAAGAGAATATACACTCAGAAAAAATGCATCATGTCTAAGTTCAGACTTCGCGACGGCAGCGCTTCGGTCGCGCGTTCGACGCGATCGATGCAGTTGAAAGCATGCGCATCGATCCAGGGCACAGCATTGGTTGGGGAATCCCCATAGGGGGGGTCGTATTTGGCCGCCAGGAGAGGGGGGGTCGTAATGAGTGCGGTAGCCAGTATCGAGCAGCGCAAAGGTGTCAGTGTGCTGAGTCCTGTGTAGCGAAACTTGCTTTGTAGAGAACTCGGATATGTAAAAAAATAGTACAAAACTTTCATTCATCAAACTAATCCGAAATAACTGGAAATATTAATAAGTCGACATCATCTCGTAAGTCCGTTGTGACTAAACAGTACAACTCATACTCTGGTTCGCTGCGGATGAT